AGATAGGTGCCAACCTAGAAGGCATTGTCAAAAAGAGATTAATCCAGATGTTACGTGACTATATAAAGATCTTTGCTTGGTCTTATGAAGACATGTCAAGGCTTGATATTGACATTATGGTTCATCGTCTACCGATGGAGGAAGGTTGTCCTTCTATAAAATAGCAGGTTCGTCAAATGCATCCTGAGATGTCTGAAAAGATCAAAGCTGAGGTTATGAAGCAGTTCAATACAGGTTTCTTAGTTGTTACATCCTATCCTCAGTGGATTACAAATGTGGTGCCGGTACCTAAGAAAGATGACAAGGTGTGTATGTGTATGTGACCAAAGAGTACAAAGTTTATAAAAAATAAAACTTAGCAAGAAAGAAATTACAATTTGAAATTATAAAAGCCTAATGATCTAGAGATAAGCCTTCTCATTGATCTACTGACTTCAGGAGATGCTTCGTAGTTTTTGGACTTGTCAGAGCATGGGGGTGACCCTTGACTTTTCTTAGGCGTCCCAAATCCATTGATAGGGAAGTTGCTCTTGATGTAAAGGAATCATCAATGGTAGTGGCATTTGAGGTGCTGTGTAGGCCTGTAGTTGTCATGGTGAAGGGATGCCTTCTCTATCCAATAAGATTTGTAGGACCAAGCTCCTTTGAATCTCCAACGTTTGACCTTTCCTTCACCAATCTAAGATTTTCTTGAAAAGCTTGGACTTTGCTCTTGAGCATTGGGAAATTTGTTAGCTGGATTGATAGTGACCAAGGGCAAAGGTGGAAATGCATGACATGCAAATGTATGGATGTATGTAAATGCATGGGTATGTAAAAATATTTTTTGGCTTTAAGAGTATGCTAAAAAATTTACGGAGATGAAATGCGATATGGACATAATATATCACAAAAGTTGGTTTATAAGATCGTGGTGATATCAGAAAATATTTTCTAGTACTGTGGAAGAGGGCTAGACCAAGACCAATGGAGACTACACTTCAGATGCCTCAAGATTAATCATTGAGAAAATTGTAAGTAGGACTTGTGTCATGCCCCAAAATTTGTCCTCTCATTTTCATTCTCCATCTGGCTTATACCTTTGACTCATCTACATACATAGTCCTATTGACAATTCATTTAGGAATCATGCATAACATTCATTTGCATAGCCATTCATTCATCTACATGTAAGGTTATCAAGTTATCCAATTAGGTCATTCGTTTCAGCATTTCACTCATCGCATTTCGCATAATTCATCAATGGGTAAAAAGGTTCGATAATAGTGGATTTAATTTATTTAAGTGGAGTTTCGAGACGAATATAATTTGGTGTTCATTCGGATTTATTTCTGATATTACTTGTGGTGTGAATCATATCTTTGTTTGAGATTCATGGTTGTCAGAGGGATTGGAATGGTTGTTATTTGATTCAGAAGATTGCTTGAATTTAAAGGAAATGGAAAAATTGAAATAAAGAAAATGTTTCATTCATCAGAAATTCATGGTACAATGTGAATCTCTTGAGATACAAGTCAAAAGAATTGATTACAAGGAAAAAGGATTAAAAAAAATTACATAATTTAAGTACAATTGACTTTTGGTCAAACATTTGACTTTTTGATTAAACAATTGACTTTTTTGATCAACTGTTGACTTTTGGTCAAGTGTTGACCATTGACTCAGTTTTGACTCTTGAATTTCCCTAGACCTATTCTATAAAGATTTGATCAAAGGATCATCATCTTTCATTGGAATATCAAGTTTTCCTAATTATGTTACAAATTGCAAATTTCCAACAAAATCAAGTTTCATCAAGCTTCACTTCCATGGCTTGTTCTTCATTCTCCAATGTTGCCTCAAATCTATTCTTCCACCTAAAAGTTCACTTTCATACAAGGAAGAAGATGCATCAATTTAGACATTCATGCCATGGATTAAAATCATCAAAATGCTATAGAAAAGTGATGAAAAAATTATGCATTTTACTTCAAAAATTATGCATAATGCGACATGTTTCACAATACTTTCTAACTTTGGTTCATGCACAAAAAATCATAATTTGATCCATGAGTTTACACTATTCAAAAGTGCACATTTTCAACTCAAAATCACTTCTCAAAAGCACTTAAAGTCATGGAATAATTCACCAAAAACTCAATGCAAAAGTGGCAAAAAAATCAAAGCAAAAAAGCATTCAAACTTGGTACTTTTGCAAAAACCAAGCAGCATTTGTCTCTAACTACTTATTTATTCACAAACTTTAAATTACCTAACTACCCTTAACATCCGATGAACAACCTAGGCAAAATTAAAGTCCAACTAACTAAATTAACTTCCAAACTAACATAAATTCCAACTTCTATTTTTCAACCAAATTTCATTCAATCCTAATTATTCTTAACAATTGATCCAAGGATTAGAATTAGTGATCCTCAACTAAGACCTAGATCAATTCTCAACCATTAATAAAAACTTTACCTAGATCACAATCTAAGGGTTCTCATTCAACCACTTCTATATAAACTCTACTTTTTCTTCATCAAAGGTTTTTTCTCCATTTTCACCATTTTTTACTAATTTTTATCTTTTTCACCAGCTTCTGAGGTTGTTAGGCAGAAGCTGTTATCAGTCAGAATTAGAAGCTTCTGATGTTACGCCTATAAGTATGTTTAGCTTCAGGGGTTCTAGTTCTTTTGTTAGCGTAGCTATTAAGTTTGGTTTGCTTAGTTACTAAGTTTACCTTTTGTTAGGCCTACGTGAAAATTTACTTTGTGTATAAATAGACTAGTTGTAGCTGTCATAAAAATGTTCAATCATTTTTCCTTACAACTTTATAGCCATCATTGCAGAGCCTTAATATTATTCTCTCATACCTTTTCTTCATCTATTAACTTTGTGCACTAACAATTCTTGGATCCAGTTTGTATTCGATTTAGAAATAATTCTACAAAAAACATTGAAACATACTTAACATCACAGATAGATGAGGAAAAAAGACAGTCATTTAGCATCATTAAGATGTGATTCTCACCGACGACGTCACTATTTGTATGCGGAATAGGAAAATTTTTAAGGTAGTGATGAATGTCTATGTAAAAGCTCTTCGGTACAATGGTAGGAGTCTCTGGTGTGCGGAGAAAATAGTGTACCTGTAATGTTAGCACTCCAACATCCAAATCACTGAAGTGATAGAGGTGAAACTTTTAAGAGTGAATGAATCGTACATTGGTCGAATGTGTGATCACATTTATATATAAGTGACGATTAAAATCTCCCTCAATAAATATAGAGTAAAATACATAAGTTCGTTGGATTGATTTCAACGATACGATAAATACAATAATATGTTTTGATGTGCGGTCTCTTAATTAAAATTTACTTATTTATCGTCTTTAAGCTGATAAAACATTTGATTGAGTCTTCGTATAAGACCGGTTTTATCAGACCATTTAATCAACATATACTTTTATCTTTAAAAAAGATGTTTTTTTTTTTTTTACTTTTACCTTTGAATAAGATAAAGTAGTTTCTCAAAATTGATTGAAACCGTAACACAAAAAACTCCTACTAATCTACTAGGAACATACTTTATTGTGCTTGACAATAAACACAAGAATAATAGGTTGCAACTATTTAGCCAAATAAATAAAAATAGGTTGATTTGTGTTGGTTAACCAGATTAACAATTTTTATTTTAAAAAATTTAAAAATTAATTCATTTTTAATCAAACATTATAAGTATTTTATACTATTAAAATAAATACATAGAATAAAATAGTAAATAAATATATGCTTGATAAAAAATACATTAACACAATATTTTTATAAAAGATAATACAACTAAACTAGTGTGAAATGAAAAATCAATTTAATTAAATAATTCCATAATTTCATTGTACTTGTTTCATTTTATGTCCCTGCATACACTTTCTTTTCTTTTTTTTAAACTTTTATATAGCTCTTTCCTTAGTCTCATCATATCTATTTTCTATAATATGAATTTGTTAATGCAATGACATACAATAAATTATGAACAAACTTGAATTTATAATCATCATGTTATGGTTTATAGTATGTTGTATATATATTCTGTTTAAGAAAAGCGAGACAAAGAGTTTAGAATTTCATAATGAGGTTAGTAAAAGAGATGATAAAGTAGTGATATGAAATGGTGCCAAAGATTGGATAGAGTTGGTTAAAAAACAGAGTCCATATACTAAAAGTGGCTCAAAAAAGCAATTGATGACATAAAGATGGAAACAAAGAAGATTCTCAAGGGATTTCATGACTAAAATAAATGACATGGTCCTATAATTATTGATACTTTATACCAACATCTTATTCATCCTTTCTCTTTAACTAATCACATTTTCATCCTTTTCTTCTTGTATGTAGAGTCATAATCATACTCACTTAATCATTGCATGTTATAAAGTAAACCAAGCACTTATTAAGTGTTAAACGAACTTCCGTTAAACAAAATTTTTTTGATAGAAATAATATTTAGTCCGTGTTATGATTTTTTAACACGAACACTAAATTACTAAGATCAAGTGTTCTTTTAAAAACCGAAGTGCGAAAAATAAAAAATAAAAATTTGAAAACACTAAAATGCTTGGTCCAACAAGAGTTGGTATATATCAATTATCTTGAGCATAGTTATTTCCATCAAAGTGTATATTTGGTTTTAATAATTAACACCTTAATGAGTACATAAAATTAGGTATAATCATAATGGTCTAAATAAAACAATGTAAAAGAAAAGACCGTCAACTAGGTCATAAGTCACAAATGATAACTTAGTAGGAACATAGATTTGACATATATGTGATCAAACATGTCTTAATTTAACTTTTTTGAATAAAAAGTAAAGTTACATACTCATCATGTTGTTCAAATAAAATGTAAAAAAAAAAAAAAAAATCGAAGAGACGCATAATCTTTTCAATTTATTGGTAATGAACTATTTTTCAAAGACAAAAGATGAATCCTATTACTATCCATACAATAACAAGTCTTCATTTGGCACCTACAAAACATAGTTCAAAAAGACAATATTAGTAATTAGTAAATGTTTAAAATTAAGGAAAGAATAAATGTTCAACAAGATGATACATACCTCTCTGCTTTTCACAAAGTTTTGACAAGAAGGAAAGAAAAACAATTATCAATGCAACAGCAGCAATAAGTCCAATTAGTATGGCTAGTGTCTTCTCAATCTCATCATCATTGTGATTTTCATCATCTATGTTGTTCAAATTCCATAACAAAATTAGATTATAGATATGAATAATGAAAAAACAACTCATCATAGCACTCACCGTTACCACGACGCGAGTGAAGTCCACCTTCCGAATACCGCGCGTAGCATTTAGCCAAATAGATATCACCCCAAGGAGAACCCCCACACTCACTTCTCAACCGTTGGATCGCATCCGAAACGCAATCCTGACACTCGCTGGAACTCAAATCCCCCGTGCACTGCGCCGCACCCGAAAAATCCCCAGAAGAAGTGGTTCTAAAAGTTTTGTAAACTCCATCGGACGACTCTAAATAAGCCAGCACATCGTCTCTTGCATCAGAAGTCAACCCAATCGACGGTCCACATTTCTTGACCACTTCCGTTTTGTCCTCTACCCCAATAAATTTAACATTATCGTACTTCACGAAACAACCTTCGAGCTGCAACGCGCCACCGTAGGTTTCGAAACAGAGTGTTCCGAGTTGACTCACCGCTCGCTGGACACAGCTTGAACACTGGTCATTGTTAATATCACCGCGGCACTGGAAAATTCCGTAGACGGTTTCCGACGCGGTGGTTCCCGGGACAGTGAAATTACTGTAGGTTGTGAACGTTGCTGAGTTGACTAAGGAAGAGAGAATGGAGTTTACACTTGTTTCGTAGTTGGAACCAGGAGAGGATTTGAGACGAGAACAACCACCGAAGATGAAAGAGTTTGTGTCGGAAATTGAAGGGGTTATCATCATGCTTAAGATTGTGACAAGGAAGAGAAGAGAGAGTGCCATGTTTGTGTTTAGTTTGAAAGAGAGTAATGGAAAAAAAACGAGAAAGTGGTTATGTTATGTTATGATATGAAAAGTGGGTATAGAAAGTTTTGGATTCTTGTTGCTTAAAGGAGAATTTACGTAAGGAAGATGAGGAAAGGGGAAGAGAAGAGAATAAGATTGTGGAAATAACGAGTGAGTGTGGAGTGATAAATGGTTAAAGCTTATTGTTGCTTATGTAATGTCTTGTTGTACCTACACTTATATTTTATTGTTTTTTCTTTTGTTAGCTTTTAGCTTTTTAATGGCAATGTGTGTTTGTGGAGGAGTTTTAATGTTGGTTATTATCACTAAGTGAGGTTTAAAGTCAAAAAATAGTTAAGAGGATGGTGAGATAATTGATTCCAAAGACATCCATTTAAAGGCCAAAAGATGATATAAGTTTCACCTAATGTGTACTAGAAGTGGTATTATTATTGCATGGAAAAGCACTCATAGCTACAACTATTTTTTCTAACTACTTCTATGTGACTAATTATAGTTTTTTTTCTTTCAAAAAATAAGATAAATCCTTATTTTTTTCAACTACTACGAATCTCTTTAGAATGAGTTTTGGACAATAGTAGTGTTATTTTAATTTCCAACCCATTATATCCATACTATTAATTTTGCCTATATAAAAGATATTTATTAGAATTTAACACATTATATCCATACTATTAATTAGCTATTTAACAAATTATATACATACTATTAATTAGTCTATATAAAAGATATTATTAGAATTTATTGTAAATAATTATTGAATAATTTGTTTCAGATTATTTATATATATATATATATATATATATATATATATATATATATATATATATATATATATATATATATATATATATATATATAATAGAATTTATTGTAAATAATTATTGAATAATTTGTTTCAGATTATTTATATATATATATATATATATATATATATATATATATATATATATATATATATATATATATATATATATATATATATATATATATATATGACACTTAATCAATGAAAAATGTATTATTAATATTTTTTGGACAAAAGTCAAATCATCAGGCTCATGTAGCGGTCACTGCATCGTACCAGATCAATTAACAGGATTCTCTCAATATACTCCAACAAACATTTATGCTGCTATGCATACATTCTCTATTTATGCTCCAGATAATAAATGATATATGGACATTGAGGCTACATCGCATATGACGACGAACAGAACTAATCTTATGTCTTATTTCAATACGAGCAACAATATTAATATTGGTAATGGTCATACTATTCCGGTTATTAGTTATGGACATGCATCATCAGTGGCGGAGCCAGGAAAATTATGAAGTCTGGGCAAGTTTTCATTGACTTCATAATTTTCTACCAAGACAGTACAATGCTAATCCCAAAGGAATTATTTCCTTGAATTGCAATTACCTCTTCAATTTGTAAGATTTCGGATTTTATAATATATACATGTTAAAATTCCGGATTCTATAATATATACATGTTACAGTATTTCAGGTGTGCTCACAAAATGAACAAACCTATAAAAGCCGAGAAAATTAGTTCAACACGCTCATTTGTGTGAAATTAAGTACTATCTAAAAACACTGCTATCAATTCAAATTTCAAATAATGTTGTCAAATGCAGATCGGCGAAGTGGTGGTTTGTTAAAATTCTGGTATGCTACAATGTTGTAGAGCCACTATTTGAGAACACATTATACTAAGTAGCATAACAAAAAACAATAGGGATGTGATCAAATTCCGCTACACTATAGTACAATAGCTATAACTGCTATTTAACAACAATGATTCCAAGATATGCCAATCTAAGTTATCAACAAATAAAAAATTATGATAACAAGCCATACCTTTCAATAGTTCCTCTGGAAAACCATGTGGCATCACTTTCGTGCTCAGTCTAATGCTATTACTTTGTCCTTCCTTGTTGATATTCTAAGAGCATCCCTGTGATACCAAACAAAGAACATTAGAATCATGATTTATATTCCTTTCCAAAATGATATATTCAATAGGAAGATTGTGAAAATAGGTTACCTTAAAACTATAGCGCCAGGGAAAATAAAGGCAAGAGACAGTGCAGTTGTTGATCCTAGAAGCTGAAAGAAGTACCAAATATCTGGTATTGCTATAGCAGCAAGATAGGAGAATACTAAGATCACAAGAGACAGAATCACAAATCTCTTGTTGTCTGTGACTAGTAGAGGCTTCTCGGGGAAGATGAGCTCATCAATATTGTTTCTTAAAGAGAAATTCACAATAGGGAATACCAGCATAACATGGAGAGCATAGCTTACACGAATTAAACCATTGAACAATGAACCAACAGCAGAACCAACACTCTGATCGAAATTGATTAGAATGTCTGATTATGTTGAATCTCCAAACAAGAGGTAGCCAAATAAACCAATTGTAAAGTAGATAATAACACAAAACATTATTGCTAATCGAACTGCTATTTTCATATCAGATGGCTTTGCAAACTCAAATCCAATAGGATGCACTGCAAAGTAAAATAAAACTACTCATTAGTAAAACAACAAGAAAAGGAGAAAACCCTTATCCACCACCAAATAACGCAAAATGCAAGTTAACTAGTACCATTGAAATGACATGTGAATGTTGTGACTACAACAGGAACTGCAGTGAACAAATCAAAGAAAGACGTCTGGTAGTCTAACCGAGGAACCAGTTTAGGAGTTTGTTTTTTTCCTTGCACCAAAGCAACAATAGCCAGCCCAGAACAAATGGCAACAAATGCCACAGCAAGAAAAGTTGATATTGCAGAACTGTACTTCAAGGATTCTGAATAATTTCAAAACAGCATAAAACAAAAATAAATAATAAATGAATCTAAAGATAAGTACCAAACTGGTTCAGAAATTTTACCGAACACTTGGTGGACATAGCACGAAACAACAAATTCAACACCACAACCTGCAACAACAACAACAACAACAAATAACAAAACAACAACAATGATGTAGGAGATATGAATTGAAACAGAAGCAAGAAGAAGAAAGAATCGGCGGAGGAAGGTGATGCTCACCGATAATTGATTGAACGGAAACCGGAAAGGCAAGAGTGGTGTTGCGGTGTGTATCTGTTTACGTCGGTATGGTGTGTCGGAAGATGGCCATAGAAGATCTCCATCGCGAGATGGTGAAGCATTGTCGGGCGGAGCCTGGGCAGCTGCCCTACCTGGCCGGACGCTGGCTCCGCCACTGTGCATCATTACCTACCTATTCACACTCTTTCAATTTACACAATATATTATGTGTCCCTAAACTAATAAAAATCCTGTCTCTATTAGAAAATTCACCATTGATAATGATATTTTCATTGAATTTGACCTTTTTAATTTCTGTGTGAAGGATTTTCTAATAGGAATGCATTTAATGAGATGTAACAGCTCCGATGACCTCTATCCATTTACCACTGGATCTTACTCTACAACTCAGTCACCATTTACCTTTTCTGCATTACCTAATGAATTATGGTACAACCGTTTAGGACAAACTAGAGCAAAAGTCTTAAATTCTCTACACCGAAATAATTTTCTTACATGTAATTTCAAAACAATTTCTTTGTCACTCTTGTCCACTAGGAAAATAAATAAAATTACATTTTTCTAATTTTTTGTCTTATACTTTATTGTGTTTTGATATTGTCCATAATGATGTTTAGACATCATTTATTCTTAGTTCAGGGGGACAGTGTTATTACGTGTTATTTTAGATGATTTCACGGATTTTTTGTGGATTTTTCCATTACAAAATAAATCTCAAGTTCATTCTATGTTTCTTCAATTTCTCACTCAATTAAACCTCACTTTGTACGAGAAATCAAATGTTTTCAATGTGATAATAAAAAAGAATATGACAATGCTCTCTTTCAAAAAAATTGTGAACTCAATGGCATGCCATTTAGGATTTCATGTCCCCATACTTCCCCTTAAAATGGAGAAGCTGAAAGAAAAATGCATACTATAAATAACATATTCATATCCTTCTAGCCAATGCCTCTATGCTAGCATCCTTTTGGCATCATGCCTTGCAAATGGAAACATACTTACATAACATCCACCCAACCAAAAAGTATGCTCTCCATCCACCCACTAAGATACTCTACCAAAAAGATCCTTCTTATTCACATCTTCGAGTCTCCAGGTGTCTATGATATCCTTTAGTACCCTCAACCTCGAGAAATAAATTACATCCTCGATCACACCATGAATATTCTTAGGTTTTCCATCCTAATCATAGATGATATAAGTGTTATGAATTGTTACGTTGTAAGCCTTTTTTCTAGGCATGTCATACTTGAAGAAAATATGTTTCCCTTTTCTACCTTAAATGCTCCTAACATGGTTGACTATGTTTTTTAGATAATGAATCTACATATTTCCTTCCTTCATACTACTATGGCACCTCTACACCAAATACTCCAACTCCAACTAACCATCAATCTAACAATTCACAACAACCAACCTTAAACCCACCTTCATTTGCGCCCTCTCCCAACCAACCTTCCCCACTAACCTCTTCCTTCACACTTATATATCCTTCTCCTTCACCTCATGACAAACAACAAACCTCGGTTACTACATTGACGCCTTCACACTCGCCTTTACTAATATTACCATATTTCTCACCTCAAATGATTATTCGAGCCCAACATGGTATAGTCATACCTCGCAAGCTTTTTACCCTACATACTTCATCTCAAAATTTCATATATCCCTTACCTACAAACTCTATAGGTGCATTACATGACCTTAATTAGAAAATGACCATGAAAGACGAATATGGTGCTCTTATTGAAAATAAGATGTGGGACTTAGTTCCAGTCCGTATAATGCTAATATTATTTAAAGTTTGTGGATTTTCAGACATAAAAATAATTCAAATGGATCATTCGAGCGATACAAATCTCTCCTTGTAGTTAATGGAGCAAACCA